CCTCTTCCCCTTGCACTTCGTTTTGTTAGGTTGAGGGTCAGCTGAGATCCGACTTGTCCTTTTGAACGAAATGGTTTCATGATGGCTAAAGAATATTGCTTGTTTTATGTAGTGTACTTCTACAGGAACCCCGGCTGTAGTGGGAGTCGGTATACGGTGACTGACAATGATATTGCTCGTGCCAGGTGCATCACGACCATGGCGTACAACTCCATGAAGCTCACGTGTTAGAACTACCTAGTCGGCTTCCTTTGGTTTCTGGAGACATTGTCACTACGGAGCTTTTCGTTGGTGAGATCTAGGATATCGGAGAGATCGAGATATTGAGCAATTCAATGTTATTTACGTGGATTGAAGATTCGAAAGTACTTAAAGGTTTGCAATTATAGCTTGCTGGCAACGCGCAACATCGCATCCCCCGGCGATAAAAGTATCTGCCAAGACCCAACCTCTCAGGGGGGAAGTCAACATTGAGAGAGATGTCTTGATCAGGGTTGGTAGGATACCATCTCAGACTATAAGATGTTTGGAGAAGATATAAAAATGGCTTCAGCTAATAATGCCATTATTTAGGAGATTGATCGCGTTCAAGTAGGCAGTTTAGAAAGTCAACGTAACTTCACACTTTTTGACTTCAGAAGTAATCTTCCGGCACATCTCCCATTTCGTCTTACCCTTGGATCATCCAAGTTTGCTGCCAATGATCTCAATGTCAACGACAAGCTTCCTACCGCGCGGCGCAATGTTGAATCTATCCTCCATTATCATGTCCTCCGGCTTCATGACAGGTTCGTTCAATCTAACCTTCAGCCTGCGAAAGATCTCCGTGACGGCCAAGTATAATTCCGCCTTGGCCAGGTTCTGTCCGATACACATGCGCGGACCGAGGCTGAATGGTGTGAGTGCACCTTCCTTGTCCTTGAGCTCGGCTTCGTGGTTGCTGAGCCACCGTTCAGGGTTGAAAAATATCCGGGTTCGGGAATACGTTGGGGTCACGATGATGGACGTAGTTTTGCATACCGACGTTGGTCCCAGCGGGAAGGCAGACTGCTGTCTTGAGGCCGGAGTGGGAAGAGGATGGAGATATTGTGATGCTCGTTTCCAGAGTCCGAGGGAGAGTCGAGATAATGGTCGGATATAGTCTCATCGTCTCCTTGATGACGGCGTTGAGATAAGGGAGGCCTTGAAGGTCTCTGAGGCCTAGCTTCCCATTTTTTTGCTGCAGCGTTGATCTCCTGTCGTAATAGGTCTTGCTTGATTTCGGCCTCGGGCCGCGACATTGCGTAGATGAGATAGAATAGGGTGGTGGACGTAGTGCCGCTGCCGGCGAAGGCGATGCCCATAGCTTCCTCTACTGCCTCGCTGCGACTCAAACGGCGGCCGAGAAACTCATCGTGGTTGACCAGAAGGGGTGTGGACAGGAAACGCTGAGATTTATCGTATGCCCTATCATTCGCCTGGAATTCCGCTAGAAACGTGTCCGTCATCTGCGCCCATCTAGCATGACCTCGGTACAGTTGGCCCAGGCCGCCGGGCAGGTGCTCGCCGATTCCCAGTTTGAGGATCCAGGGCATAGCTGCATTGATGGGCAGTAACTTGGCGGAGGCGTCCATCATGTGTAAGGACTCCAGCGAATCGCCGTTTGCCCGTTCGCCAGAATCGTGGTTAAAAGCACATTGGAGGATGACCTCGAGGCTGAAAAGCCCGCAGAGCATATACAGGTCTACCGTCCTACCCGAGGCAGACGTTTCTGCGCCTGATATGGCACGATCCACGAGGATTGTGGCTTTGGATGCAATCAGGGACTCATTCTCGAAGATTGCCGCCTGAGAGTATGGTTGCGATTGCAACTTGCGACGAGCAGAGTGTTCTGCCTGGCACGCGGGACAGGTCCTAAAAGCCGCGGGGCAGTGTCCTCACGGTAAGATCCAGGACTTCCAGGCCATATGCCTCTATCATGCCGCCCTCACTTTCTGGGCGTACGCGGTGGTCGCAGCATGTAACTCGGAGAGCCAAGACGGTCAGCCCGAGGTCCCGTGTCCCAATAACAACTCTGATTCGGACCACGTCTGGCTCGACGGCCAGGACTGCTCTGCCGTAAGGCGTTTCATCGTCCTCAATAGGGGCAGCCCTGTGGTCGGCAGTCCAGGCGAGACGAGCACGAGTCGGGCATCGCCGGTTTCTCTCGGTGACCCTCACGCAATCCTGACCGTGTGCATTGACATACTAAGGAGGAACCATGTTAGCGACACCGAGAGTCCCCTGCCCCTGGTGGAAAACCTGAGCCAGATGATGCGGGACCTTCGGAACGCGGCACTAGGTGTGTTACATGGGCGGCATAGAGAGAGGGCTTGAGTACTGACGTGGGAGATCCATTTGATATACTTCCTTCTGGGATCAACAGCCCGTAAATAAGTTGATACGCACACATAAGACGCCTTCGTGATTTGAAGAAAAGACGTGATTGTATTGTGAGTTGTGAAAAAGCTAGCAGCGCTACCAGCAAAGGAATGGATACAGTCTGTTATGACAATACATTCACATGAGATAGATACCTCGACGAGCGACTTTGCCAAGCTCGTCTCTTCCTCGTGTTCAAATCACACATATCCGCCACCAAGCCACAACCGTTACTGCAACGCGCCGAACCACAGATAGCGATCCTCAGCTAGCGGCCAGTCCCCATAAATGACGCGAGCGCAAGGACTAGAGGAGAGTGACGCAGTTGAGGAGCGCAATATTGACCAAGGCTCCCTGAACAGGGTCAGTCGACAACGAAACCCCTGAATCGGAGATGAAGACGGAAGAAGTTGCCACACATACCTTTGGAGCATCGGTCTTGCAGCAATAGGCGCCACTAGAGCAAGTGTCACCGAGAACTTGAACGACGCAGTTCAGCAGGCCATCGCAGCAGACTTGCTTCGTGTTGGACTTGCAGGAACCGCCGGTGCGCTCTTCCAGAGGTGCCGGGGCCGCGGTGGCAACTAGGGCCATGGAGAGAACGGACGCGAAAGCTGTGGTGGCCTTCATGGTGGTTGAATGATTTGAAGTGTGTGGACAGGGGTAGTCTTCAAGAGTTGTGGCTATGGTCTGGAGTTGCTTGCTTGTAGATGATCTTGGATGCTGGACGTCTCGAGTGTCAGCATCGATGGCAGATGGTCCCCTTTATATAGACGTTGGGTGTCGCCTCTCGGTTCATCAGCTCGTTTCTCACATGGACGCACCTCGCGGCGCACCCTTCCCCTTCCTTACCTCGATATCTTCAGCCTCTTCGAAGCGTCATTCTCAGGCGACTATGACATGGCTGGCGTATGTCCCATACCCGAACGTCCGCGACGCTCAGGGGTTGAGCGCCAGTCCTTTAGGTGGCGGAACAACCCGTTTCCCTGGCCGCTCCCGGCACTTTTACATAACAACATGTCTCCAAGTTGCCGGGACTCCATCACGACACCGGGTATCGGTGCTGAACTTGAGCCTCCATCATGACGAGTGACCGATACCCGGCTCATACCGGTCGCCAGTAGCCGCATCGTACGGACGCCCAGCCAAATACCAAGGTATTTCCATGCAGGGTATAGGCGCTCTCTGCGTCACGTCGACGTATACGTGTTATCGCATCCAGCGTCCCGAACGTTAGCTGACTATAAGCTTGGTGTGGTACAGCAGCTCGCCAGTCTGGCGTTTGTTCCGAAGCATCAATGTCGTGCGACTCCAGAGCAGGTTTGACATTAGAAATCGCACCATCAAGATGTAGGTATGACGGCAACGTCAAACCACCGCGCCACACATCTGGGAGAAGGGAGAAGAATGACCTCTGACAGATGTTGGTCATATTGGTCGATCGGGGCTGAGGTGTGACTAAGTCTGTCAAACGAGCACTGGGAACCGCATGGTCGACCGCACACCCTATCCAACCTCCACGTCCTCGCCAATCTACAGAACACAGACCTCACCCGTGACGTGTTCACAGACCAGGACGTGTTCAACTTCATGTGCCCCATGACGTGGAGTGAGAACGTGCTCGAGGTGATGGAGGAATGGGACTCAACTGTCGCCGGCTGGCTCAGTCTTGCCCGGTTAGGGGTACTCAGGTACTTCGGGGATATTGTGGTGCGGTCGCTCGAGAGCTCCCGCGCGGATTGGAACGACGACTGGGAGTCTGGGGGACGTGGTTGGACTGGCGGAGTGGAAAGAGGGCGCTGGTGAGGCACTTTTACCATGGCGGGTGGAGTGTTGTGAAGCTGCCTGGGCAGGAACGAGGAATGAGGGATGGGCTGTGGAAGGTGTGGCTGAGTCGTGTCGCTGACATTTCTCGTTGGACGGATGCTGGAGCAGTTCGACAATGGTGGTTTTGCTAAAGATTTGTCTTGCAGTTCTGTCCGTTTGTCATCAAGACGGTCAACCTTCAAACCGAGCCCAGATACGACACTCTCTGGAACCTCTAGCATATCTTTATCGTGGCAGCTGCGGTAGTGCCCCCGATTCTTCAGGACAGACTGGCCAGTGTTCTCCTGTGGACTAGGGAATTAGACGCCCAGACCAGAAGCCTCCGCCTCCGAACGGGCGCGGGAGCCACGTACTTCGGAAACTGGAACGAGTACGGCTTTGGCGAGCTCCTCAGCGACATATATATCAGCCAGCATGCTTTAAGATACACAGAGCCCAGAGTATAAGACGTAGTCTAGCTACTAAACACTGAGATCGTCTGGCCGTCCTGGCCTCTCACCAACACGGTAATCCAACGAACTTACTCTCCTGGAGAAGCCTCCCGTGTCCACACCACCTTTCAAGACGCCAAAGTATTTCAAGCTCCCCATTTCGGGCTTTCGGGCATAATACAGAAGACCGAGGACGGTAATGAGAACTCAACTATAAATAAGGCTTAGGCGGCTCCCCACAACCATACACCCTCGCGACAGAGCGGTCACTCTGCGTCCACCCGTCCCGTACCTTCCTCATAGGCCCTTTCGAGCAGACATCATGTCAACAAACAAACAACAGCTGGCATGGTATAGTAGTTAAGACACTCCCCTCCCATTCTTAAATAGAAGGCAAGGGAGAAACCCGGGTGCAAATCCCGGTGCTAGCAAGAACGTTTCTGTTTTTCTTTTTTGCGTCTTCATCGTTTTGGTCTTTTGCCTACACAACCTAGACGGCCTGTCTGTCGCGTCCTATCCGTCAGTCTCGTCCATCTAACTCACTGCTAATTGCTACCACGGCTACTGACCAGTCTTACTGGCAACCCACGCTCATCCAACTGCAAGCGAATAACCCCTGAGGCTTTCTTGAGCAGTTCCACATTCTCGCTCATCCTTCCAGCACTTGGCCCGGAACCACGAGAGAGATCTCTCCCTTCTATTTTCCCCTCGTATAACTGCCCATCATTCTCATTCTCGTTACCTCTCTTCGGTATATCCACTCCGATGCTGATATTGAGTCACCACACGACTGCCCCCCCAGCGGCGAACCTATGACTCCCAAGGCCACTCATCACCTCAGTTTGCGGTAGACCTACTCGCCTGTGCTTGTGCAACTGCGAGTCTCATGATCCCTTGGTGATTTACCTACAGCGGGGATTCTTCTGATAACGCGTTGATGAGCGCCTCACCGTCTCTTCGCCTAATCCTCTCATCATAAAATCATCAGCTCTGATGCTACGCTAGCATGCGTGACCCTAGCACAATTGTTTCTGATCCGTGGCTATCCTGAGTGATAACTAGTGTGGTACGCCATTATTGGTTGGTGTCCCAGGAGAGCGATGCTGAGGAAGGGATAGGCACGCACACTGACAGCCACATTCATTTTGCCGACGCAACGACGATATAGGATACAGTAATGGACATAACATCATTTGGAATGGAAAGATCTCGTGTAAACCTAGGTCGACAATCGCTGTATGCTCCTCTTGTTAGTATCACCCAACCTCCTTTACTCCCCAAAATTATCATCCATGATCCATATATCCAATCTCACCTCCCACCTCACCACTCAGGCGCACTCCCACACCCCCCACCAGCCATCAACTCAACCGGCTTCCGCATCATCCTCCTCTCGTTAGCCGCAACGGGCTTGACACCAGGCTTCTTGGCCCGCATCCCCTTGAACTGGATCTTCCTGTCCAGCTCCTCGAACGGGTGCGGCCCCGACTCGCCCTTCCGCACCATCCACTTCCCCGTCCCCAGCGCGGCGTCGAGCTCTTCGACGGGCGGCAGCTTGAGGTACACGAGCCCGTCGTCCCGCGCCTCGACGGGGAAGGTCGCGATCGACAGTTCGTCGTCGTTCTTGCACGCGCCGCTCGAGAGGTCGTAGTTGCGCTTGTGGTGCGGGCAGGACACCCAGGGAGCGGATTGCCCCTCGGGGTTCTTGTCGCAGGACGAGTCCGGCGCGTCCTGGCCAACTAGTCCGTCGGAGAGGACGAAGGCCCGCTTGTGGGGGCACATCTCCTGCGTGGCGAACCAGCGTCCCCTGACCCTCCACAGCGCGAGCTGCGTGTCGCCGCGGCGGATGGCGGCGCTGATGCCGTTGGGCAGCTCGTCCGCGCCGTTGAAGTGGCCGGCCTCGATGACGGGCTGCCAGCTCGTGGAGGACCACCGGTCCTTCAGGCCCTTGAAGTCTTCCCGCGCGGGCTCCTTGGCCCAGTACACCGGCCGCGTCTGGTTTCGGTCGGACTCGGTCTCGAGCCAGTCCTGCGGCTTGGCGTCCTCGTTGGCGAATTGGCGGAACTTGGCGGCGATGGAAGGGTTGTTGATGGCCTCGACCCACTCGTCGAAGTAGCTGTCCACGAGCTCCTGCATCTGCGCCTCGAGGGAGGCGTTGATGCCCAGCTTGTCCTCGAGGATGACCTCGCGGAGGTACTTGATGCCGCCGGGAAGGCCCTCGAGCCAGCGCGCCGTGCGTTGGAGCTTGTCGGCCGTGCGGATGTAGAACATTAGGTAGCGGTCGAGGATGGGTATGACTTCTGCGGGGGGCACGTCTTTGGCTAGGAGCTCGGAGTGGCGGGGTTTGGCGCCGCCGTTGCCGGCTACGAAGATGTTGAAGCCCTTTTCTGAGGCGATGAGGCCGAAGCTGCAAGAAGAGATGTTAGTAACCTGTTCAAGCAAGAGGAGGGAGGGGTTACGTACTCCTTATTCTGTGCCTCAGCACACTCCCTCACGCATCCACTTACACCTCCCTTGATCTTATGTGGCGCCCGTATACTCTTATATCTCTCCTCCAATCGCACAGCCATGCCCACACTATCCCCGATGCCAAATCTACACCACGTAGTGCCCACACAACTCTTCACCGTTCTTAGACTCTTGGCATAGGCATGGCCGCTCTCCATGCCCGCATCAACAAGCTTCTTCCAGATATCTAACAGATCGCCCTTCTTGGCGCCGAACATATCGATCCTCTGCCCGCCAGTGATCTTAGTGTACAGGTTGTATTCCTTCGCCACCTGGCCCATAATAATCAGCTTGTCCGGCGTGATCTCCCCCGCCGCCACGCGTGGAACGACGCTGAAGGTGCCGTTGCGCTGGATGTTACCTAGGTACCTGTCGTTTGTGTCCTGCAGTCCGTGGCTGCCGCGGTCCATGACGTGCTTGTTCCAGAGACTGGCGAAGATACTCGCCACGGTGGGCTTGCACGCCTCGCAGCCGATGCTGTCTTTGTCCGTCCCGGCTTCGCGCATCACGTCGGCAAAGGTTGTCAGTCGCTTCACCATGACGATGTGGTACAGCTCTGCGCGCCCGTGCGCGAAGTGAGGGCATATGTGGTTCTTGACCTCGTTGCCCATCTCCTTCATGGTCTTGTTGAAGATGGAGGTGACGAGGGGCATGCACCCGCCGCAGCCGGTGCCGGCTTTGGTGCAGGACTTGACGTCGCCGATGGAGGTGCAGGTGCCGTCTTTGGTGGCGGTGACGACGTCCCCCTTGCTGACGTTGTGGCAGCTGCAGATCTGCGTGTCAGAGGGCAGATCGTCGCCATCGTCGCCTTCGGAGTTGCTGGCGCCGAGGATCAGCTGGGCGGGTGGGATGTCGAGCTCTTTTTGCGCCTTGACGAGGGGCACGAGCTTGACGTAGTCTTTTGTGTCGCCTATCATCATGCCGCCGAGGAGGTATTTGCCGTCTGTGGTGAAGAGGTATTTCTTGTAGACGTTTTGGAAGGGGTCTTTGTAGGTTAGCGCCTTCACTGGCGCCGGAGGGAGGCCGTTGGTCATGATCTTGACGCTGTTCGGCCGCTTTTCTGCTTTCTTCGCTGCGCGTGCGGGTAGGTACTTTGGCCCGTCACGGTCGGCGAAGAAGTCACCAAAGCTAGCGACTTCGACGCCGAGGAGCTTTAGCTTGGTGCTGAGGTCAGGTCGCTTGTACAACCGCGGTTGGTGTAGCTTAGCTTGTGTGAGGTTGAACGCAAGGACGTCGGCCATCTCGATGCCAGGGGCAATGAGGCCGAAGGTCTGACCCTGCCAGCTAGCACACTCGCCGATGGCGTAGATATCTGGCTCGGTCGTCGACAGGTCATCGTTGATAACAATGCCGCCGCCACGGTCCGCACACTTGATGCCAGCTTTCCGAGCTAACTCGTCTCTCGGGCGCACACCGATGGCGAAGCAGATGGTTGAGCATGGCATTGACTCGCCATCTTCGAAGTGAACTCCCTTGATGTGGTTGTCCTCATCGACATCAATCTTGCCGACCCGTTTGCTAAGCAGTACCTCAACGCCAAGCTGACGCACTTGCTCGACAACCATGCCGCCGGCATCTCCGTCCAGCTGTCGACTGAGCACCCATCTATTCCGCTCAATGACGCTGACCTTATCAAAGCACGCCAGATCCATCATGGCCTTTGCCGCTTCGAGACCAAGGAGACCACCTCCGACGACAGCGCCGACGGTGCCCTTTCGAGTGGCGGAGAAGGATATCAGCTTTTCGAGATCCTCGATGTTGCGGTATACAAAGACGCCTTTCGCATCGTGGCCTGGTGTGTGTCTGGGTAGTAAGGCGTCGGAACCAGTCGCTAGGACGAGGATGTCATAGTACACTTCCTGGCCGTTGGCGCACGATATCGTCTTGGAAGCGGAGTTTATGGCCGTGACTCTGGTGTTCAGGTGGTAGCCAAGGGCCCCGTCGAGGACGCTTTCGTACTGTGACTGGTTAGTCCCCAAGCCATACATAGTGAAACGGAAGAGCATACCCATGTTAGAGGATTGAGGTAGAGGTTCTCAACCTTCCTGTGGTCGAAGTAGCTCGTGAGCCCGACTCTGTTGTATGCCACGTGTGGCTCTTCACCAACGACAACGATATCGTATTCGCGGCTTCTGGCATCTAGTTTCAGGAGTTTCTCTCTGGGAGATGGTATCAGTGTTCTGTACCGTCAGAGGCCTTGTAAGTGGAAAGCTTACATGAAGCTGATGCCGACCATCCCCAGGCCAACGACCACGACTCTTTTTCGGCTTCCGACAGCCATTTTGCACGCCTTAGTACCAGATAGGTGTTGAAGCAGTCAAGGAGCAGCTGATACCATAGAGGAAGATGGGTAAAAACAGCAGAAGAGCGTGAGAGGGTGTAACTGTGCCACAATCACCTGTTACGAGGACACACCAGAGTAACAGAAGGAGAGAAGAAAAAGACGCATAAAGAACTCCCAACGAGACTATCGCCAGCTCTTCATACGCGTCGCAGAAGCTCTGGATCTAGATCTCACCTATCTCCCTATCTCGCCAATGACGTCCACGGTATACTAATACCTTGATACCTCTCTATCTCGCCTCGTCTATCAGGGAGGGGAGATTTGCATCTCCGGTGCCAGCAAGAAGCACTTCTTCCGCATATCTCATGCACCATTGTCGTCCCGGAGAAACGCCAATCGTCCATATCGCTGGCCGTTCTGTGGTGAGATGCTGAAAGTAATTGTATCTCCGTAGATGTTGAGTGATGCTTTCAGAGACGATCTTGAGATAAGGCGGCATGTTTGATAACGATACGGCGGCCAATCAGAGATCGCTGATGTTTGGGGGACGTTTGCCGCGGAGAAAAGCGCACGGGGGTCCGAATGTGGCCCGTGCGCCAAGTCTTCAGGTACCTCAGGGGCTAGACCGGTCTGCAACTT